TACAATGTAAGCCAACTGGTTTTTCAATTCAGGAAAGCATTCAAGAAATTTGTCTTCGTTCTAAAATGAGATTAGTATCATGTTGGAAAAAGTCATGCGACAATTTCAGCAAAATCTGGGACTGTACTTTCTTTTATAGAACGAAGCCTTCAATGAGCAAGTTGTCGGCATTATTATCTTGAGATTGTTTCCATCTGCTGCAGGACCGCCACTACAGTACCAGCTCCAAGCAGCATCGCGTAGATGTCCAACGCTAGCGGTTTTTCTTCCTGAGGGATGGTGCATATGCATGATGAATTAAAGACCCTGCTTTCATTAACAATGGTTATTTCTATTTCTGCCAAAAACCCTTCCATTACGAAGGCCAAGAAACTTATCCAGGGCTATTCGGATAGCCTTGTCAGGCGGCAATATGTTACTCAGTAACCGAGATTGCGGAGTAATCAAGTGGGCGCAGTAATGAGCAGTTGTCGACCTCCTGCACTGCTTGTAGAGGATAGGCGAATGATCATTATCCCGTCCTGGTCGCTGGAAAATACAGTCCTCATCATTGCGGACCGGTGGGGCGTGTCAGTGCGGCTGCGTTTGGCGCGGTGCCAAAGTCGTTCTGCACCAGTTGTTGAAGCGGGCAAGTGAAGTGACATTACTGTATTATATCCTTCGTATTACTCGTTTTCTACCACTTTTTGTCGCATACGCGTTTCAACAAAAAGGCTGAGAACGGCTTCAACAGTGTGCACACTCATACTGGCTGACACGCCCCACCGGTCCGCAATGATGAGGACTGTATGTTGTCTGACTAAGTGAATTGAATAACCTCTGAATTCCAAGCGCTGACACTAACGACACGCTGTGGCATGACATCGTTTCTGGAAACAGCGCAAGTGTTTACCTCTCGACACCTACAAAGGGGCAATGCAGAATATCAATATTTAGAAAGGCTCGAAGAATAGCATGATGATTATTAAAAAACTTTGAGCTCTGATATCTCGCACGAATCCATTATGCCTCGTAGTAAAATGAGCTGAAAATAGCACAACATCAGTCATTATCTACCAGCATCTGGTCCCTCTTGCTTACTACAGACTTTCAACCGTGAGAAGGCTGCACCATATCATTAAGGACCGCAGTTGCGACATCAGAATGGGTAAAGTTGAATTAGTCCGGATGAGTCCTTAACACCCGGAAGAGGCATAACTGCAGAGTCATGGGTGGCACTGAAAAGGAGAACTTCACATTGCTTGTACATGTCAAAGTGTGTGTCGCACGGAGAGCACGGAGAGCTCCAATGTTACAACT